TATATATAACATTAATAACGCTTTTTACGACAATCTCATGAGATTGATACATTTTGATATATTCGATTATACTTTGATGTTGCATACTCATATAAGATTATCAGGATAAGTCAATGTGTTACAAATATGTCAAACTTAATCAATTTAAAACTCTTTATAATCCAAATTAGCAACAAACAAATATGCAAGAATTGTAAAAAATGAAGTAATGACACATGTCGCGCTCACACAAATGTTCTTTTGTAGTTTTTGATAGGCTTACCTGAACTAGGTGGAGCTTTGCCATAACTGTAGGGATCGTTAGTACTGAATCCTCCTGCAACAGGAACTGAGGACGATCCGCCGTATCTACTATCTGGCGGTGCGGACGATGGATAGCCCTGGAATCGAGAGGAAGAAAATAATTGCAGATTGTTTAATATACAATAAATGATTTTAAATTAATAATGGTAAGAAATCCTATTCATTTTGATAAAATTAGAAATTTAAAACTTAAAAGAAAGAAAGAAAGAATTAAACTTAGAAATATATATTTCATTTTACTAAGAAAATATAATGGGACTTGAATAATTGAAAGCTTTTACAAGTATCATTAATATATTATTGTGCGCATTATCTTAAGTTTACTTACACTTGTTTGAGCATAATCTGGTTGCTGGTAACTCTCGTAGCCCTGATAGGATTGTGTATATCCTTGTGATCCGTAACCGCCGCCGCCGCCGCCATATCCTACCGACTGCTGTTGCTGTGGTTGTTGTTGACCGCCGTAAGCGTTATTTGAACCTCCATAACCGCCTTGGCTGATTATTGAGCAAAAAAGAAAAAGAAAAAAAAAAAAAAAAAAAAAAAAAAAAAAAAAGATTGTTAATACTTTCTGTTAATATTTTCTATATACAAAAAGTATAAATGTATTTTGCATAAGCCACCATATAATAAAAATTCTATTTTCTTTTTTTTTTTTATTATCTTATATATATATAACAATTCTCTTTAGTCCCTTACCTGGATGCTTGAGTAGCATAGCCATTGGAAGACTGTGAAGAAGGTTGATCAAAACGTGGCCTTTTAGAGGGTCCACTGGAACTAGGTGGGCCTCCTCCCCGTTTCGTTGGGCCGCCGCGTCCACCACCGATTCCTCTACCACGATCAGAAAAGCCGCCTCCACGACTTGGTCCACCCCTACCCGATCCTCTGAAATAGTATATTTTTTGTAGTTAAATTAATAATATAATAATTTTAATATGTAAACGTTTAATTTAATGTATTAATTTAAATTTTATGTAAATAGAATCTTCATTTGTCATATTTCAATAAAAAAAAAATTCTAATTTGTACATTTCAAATTAAACTTTTGAACTTATTTAATAAAACTAAATGTCTACAACTGTGCTCTAAAAATAATATTCTTTTCCATGTAAAGTTGAAATGCATAATTAAATATTTTTACAGATTATTTAATCTAATTATTAAAATTTTAATGACAAATAAATATAATCAAAACTTAAATTAATTTGAAGCAAAATCTCTATACCTGGAACCTCCTCTTCCTCTGTCCATGCCGCCACGCCCACGGAAATTATTACCACCGCGATTATCTCTACCAAAGTCTCCCCTACCTCTGCTACGAAAACTGTTATTTCCACCACCTCTTCCGCTACCACCTCGTGGAGGACCACCCATTCCTAGGGGTAATGGCCCACCTCCACTAGACATTCCTGGTTCAGGTGGCCTATAAAAGACAACAGAATTTATTTTAGTTTATAATAAAGCCATTATCGAGAAAATACATTATTTATAATCGCGAAATATTTCTTTTAATCAGGCAATTCTTAAAATCGCGTTTTATGATTATCATTGCCCAGAAAAAGTGTTAACAAAATGCATAGTAATAATATATCTATATTATAATGCACACAATATCTACAATGTATATAAATAATTTATAATGCAATATATATAATCTGATATCTAAAATGTTAACATAACATTCTAGATATTGTATGCGTTATAATATAGAAATTGCGTTGCTGGTTAATTTCAAGAGACTTCTTACAGTGTTATGCGTTCAGTGGAATTATATAGGGACAAGCAAAGAGTGACATCATATACAAGATATACATGATTTAATTGTTATCACTGAGAATGGTCAAAATCAATATGCCAAAACGTTTACATTAAATTTGTATTATAAAAAATATTTGCACTAAAATCAAATGTATAAATTTTTACTATTTTTACTTTTTATTATTTTGATAATAGGACAAGTTGCTTGTAAATCTTGTTTATTATTTTTTTAAATTATATTAAGTTTATTAGTAAT